AACGAAACTTTTCTTTACTTGCTATGGGGAAGCAGTGTATGAGCTTTTAAGGTGATGGAACGATAAGTTGACTACAAATTTAGAGAGATTTGATATCAAATTACTTGGATCTTTCTAAATATACCTCTATGCGAAATTTTCATCGATGTTTTTTCCCTTTGCCAAAAATTTCAGGGAGAATGAAAAGCTCTCAAATTATGGAGATATTAAGTCTGCCCGGACTATATTGTTTCTTGAACTTAAAAAACTGATCGAGGCAAATCCTCTTTTCCATAATAAGCTTCAATTTCCTAGCTCGGAAAACTCAAGGCTGAGGAAGCTAATCAATCAGAGGTGACATGAGAAAAATTTCTATCTTGACAATCAAATCTGTAAAAATGTTGACTGCTAATTGAGATTATTTGTCACCTTGATTGATTTTCAGTATAAACTGGGCACCATATGGTGCTCTTTCTCCTTCACCTGCCACTAACCCTTTACTGGGTGGTCATGGTGTAAGTCTTCTGCAGGACCTTCTCTAAGAAGTTAGACTTGTTTCTTCAATTTTCTTTACATCTATTAGCATTTTCAGCCAATGCCAGCACCTTCTACAGCATCTTCTGCAGGAAGAATGGCTAATCCGTCTCCTGTGCCACACCAGGCAATTTCTGCAGAGCCAATAGGTCCAATTCCTCCTTGTGCAGGTAATAGTCTTTTCACTCCCTTCTAATAGGTATGGTTAAATGTCTCATCGATGCTTCCTAGCACATAATTGGTGGTAGAGCTTGTATAGTCTGAGCCATTATTTATGCTTGGTCCCTGCAAATCAGTGCCATCTTCACCGCATAGACTCCATTTACCCTTGTAGCACCAGAAGAATGCTATGTTATCCAAACTTGCTATGGTGTGATATGATTTAGAAATATAAGAAAAAGGGAATACTTTTCATTTCTTGTTCAATGATTGGTTAACTGCTGAAATGGTTATGGTTAGTACTGAGAAAAAAAAAAATTGGAGATTTCAGATCTCAATAATAAAAATATTATCTCAGTAACTAAATTAGGATACTTATTTATAAGGTTTCATATACAATTAAAAAATAAGAAATTTAGAAAACTTAGTAAATAAGAAAATTAGTTAAATAGAAAGAATTAGAAAAACATGAAATAAGAAATAGAAAAATAATTTAAATAATTAACTAACCTATAATACAAAAATAACTATATAGCATCCTAATTAAAATAGAACTATATTTAGTAATTCCAAAATGAACTACATATCTTAATGATATATAAGAATGACAATTGAATAAATATATGCTGTTTTAGAAATATGTCTCTTTTATGTTCTCACTCTTCTCGATTATTATCCCCCACTTGGTGAAAACTTGGTCTTGAGTTTTAAAATATTGAAATAGAAAATCTTGGAACTTGTCTTCTGGTAAAGAGCTCGACCAGATCTGGTGTCAGCGTATTCGTTGCAGCTGAGGAGTTCTAGCAAAGCAGCTACTGCCACAACTTCAAGTGGTAAATTCTTATATTTTCAGCATTTGTGAGCGCTGTGTCAGCACTTCCTAGTGGTGGCGGCTATTTTAGAATTTTAGGGTTTTTTTTTTCTTCAGTTTTATGAGACTGACCTTGGTGTTTGGAAAATTCTAGTAATAGAAAAGTTGATTTCTAAACTAGAAAAATA